AACACCAATTCCAATGGAATGGAGTCAGAGTTCTGAAGTAGGGAAGTTTTAGATTTTATATAGATAGAGACAGGAGTTTGTAGCAGAATTACAACATTTTTCTTATAGGGTTGGCACATAGTTATAGCAGTTTGGTTATAGGCAGTGTTTCTTTTTGGGGAGGGTGTATTGGAGAATGTGTAATAGTTCTGGGTTTTCTGTCATATGGTTTAAGTGTAAGCAGGACACCAAAGGGAAAGTTCATCTCTAACAAGGGTTGTGAATTATGAATCATTAATCATTGTATAGAACAGGAAAAATAAGAAAGTGAGCTAATCTGTAACCTGAGAAAGAGAAATTTTAACCATCTTTAACTCAGATCACAGTCACTTTTCCCTCAAGGCTTCAAGTGTTTTGGGGATTCCAACAGCTTTTAGATTCTGTTTCTTTTCATACTGTTTATTTGGTGCCATTGGCAGTGTTTGAGGGTCTCAAAATTAAATGGTACTTGAAAGAGAGAACCATGTTTACTTATTAGCCCAGAAAACAAGAAACATAGAATCTTTTTAACAACAACAAAAAAAACTTATCCAGACATGATACAGTTCTTCTGTGTAAATCATCCATAATAAATATTAAGGACTAACAGTTAAATAAGAGGAGCTATTACAGACCTTTGGCCAAGTCATTATATTTTACTTTTACAGAGAAAGAAACAGCCTTAGGTTAAGTCAACCGCTTGGTAAATGGCAAAACCTAGATCTGGCTCCAAGATTGTTGAAGCAGGGAGGCCTGATTTTTTTTTCTGCATAAGAGCAGGAGGTGAATACTTTGCTGACTATGAAGTCCCTGCGTCAAGCTGTGTGAATGGCTGTTATTGGCCACTCTTTCCTCCCTACTGAGAGTTCTGGCCTCTGGAAGGGCATCAGGATCTCCTGGTTGATCCATGATGCCAACTAGGGAGCCTGTATGGTCACTGGGGAGCCATTGCAGGTTTTTGGTAAGGGCATGTGTGACACAATGTGATGACTGCCCACAGGTCATCTCCCATGGGATGTCCCTCCAGGTACCTGCAACACCACAGGACTATGAGTAGGCTCCTCCTTCTGGGGCCCCCGTATCAGGAAGACCACCAGAATCCTATCAGTTCCCCAAGGATGGAAACTCGAGTCATCCTGAGGTATTTCCTCTTTCCTCCCACATGTGTCACCTTCTCCTGTCCCTGCTGCCACTTCCTTGCTGTTCCTGAAAGTTGTCTCCTTCTATCTCCCTTGCTTCAGCCTTGCATCAGATTATATTCATTTCTTGCCCAGATTACAGCTGTACCCTCTTACCTGGTCTTCCAGCCTAACCCCAGTTTCTCTTCAAAGGGGTGCCACAGAATCTTTCTAAATTACAAATCCAGTGCTGCTCTGGTTTTCAGGATGTGACTTCTCTGTGTAGCCTCGTGTGGCCTCCTCACCCTCCTGACCTGTAACCCCAGAGTCAGAGTGTGTCTAACTCCCACAGTGGGCAGTGAGTTCTTTTCGATCTTCCAGCACTCTCTGTGTTCCCACGCCCCCAAGACTTTGCATGTGGTGTACCTTTGACTCCAAAGGCCCTTCCCCTGCTTTTCCTTCCTCTTCCTCAGGCCACAAAATTTGGCCCAGGCTTTGCAGTCTTTGGTTAAGTTTTGTCTTCGGCGTGTTCTCCTGGTCCTTGTGTAAGTAAGCCCTGGTCTCTTTTTGTCTCTTTGACTTATACAAAACCTCTGGGGGTAGTTTTGTTGCTATAAGGCAAGAATAAAATCGTATCAGTATTTCATAAGCCAGGATTCTTTTTTTGACTACACCTGTTTAGGACAAAGAATAAGTGCTTTCTTGTTTGAATTAGAGATTTTTTTTTTTAATTTAAGTTCTGGGGTACATGTGCAGATTGTGCAGGTTTGTTACATAGGTATACACGTGCCATGGTGGTTTTGCTGCACCCATCAACCCGTCGTCTACATTAGGTATTTCTCCTAATGCTGCCCCCCACCCAGCTCCCCACCTCCCAAGATACTAATAACTACAGTTATGGTCTATTTCTATTCCAGTTTCAGGTTCTTCCATTTCCCGTATTTAGTTTCTTGTCTTTCAAAGAAAATTGTTTTAACTGACATTTTGTTCAGTGCCTTCTCTCCTACTTTTTGTAGCTGCCATAATACTTTTTTGTTTTGTTTTGTTTGTTTTTGTTTGTTTGTTTTTTGAGACGGAGTCTCGATCTGTCGCCCAGGCTGGAGTGCAGTGGTGTGATCTTGGCTCATTGCAACCTCTGTCTCTCAGGTTCAAGCAGTTCACCTACCTCAGCCTCCCAAGTAGCTGGAATTATAGGCGTGTACCAGCATGCCCAGCTAATTTTTGTATTTTTAGTAGAGAGTCGTGTCACCATGTTGGCTAGGCTGGTCTCAGGTGATCCGCCTGCCTCGACCTCCCAAATTGCTGGGATTACAGGCGTGAGCCACCTTGTCTGGCTACTTTTTTCTTTTTTTTAGTGACAGTTTATTCTTAAATGTATAACAAGCTCCAAGACCGTACTTCATTCTAGTTATAGATGGCAAAAGATACTATGGCAGGGAATACAGATGTTTAAACAGGAATGGAACCCAGGGTCACCAGTGCCTCAAGCACAAAGAACTGCTGTTTTTTTGCTGGATTTCTTAATACCACCTGTGACCAGGGGCCCTTCCCTGTAACTTCTGGCCCCTGGAGTTTCTTCTACTCCTTTTTTTGTTTCTACTTGAAAGCCTTATCTTCCTTGTCCAACTCCTTGGCCACTTCCTGAGCCATTTTAGGAGCTTCTTAACGCCTGTGAGCCATGTAAGCACGCTGTCCCTGCCATCTCAGCTCGCTTGTTCTCCGATCATAATCCTTTTTTGCTTTTACTTTTTGCATGTGCTTGTTTTTTTCTTTTTGTTAGTGATTTTTTGACAACAGGGCAAGATCAAATATGGGTTTTTAAATTTTAGTTATTCATCATTATTATTTTGGTGTAGATGCTTGTGTAAGTGCTTTCTTGTTAACCATGTCTTAGAGAACTAGAATATTTATTTTCTGATCATTTACATTCCTTATGGATATCTTTACTGGGTTCATCAGTATGTTAACTTCAGCATCTTGTATATAATTAACATAGAAAAAGCCTTTATCCTTATTTTGCCAAAAGCATTAAATAAGATCGTCGGAGTGAGACCCTGTCAAAAAAAATTAAAATTTGTCATTTTAACCAAGTGTACAGTTCAGTGGTATTAAGTATATTCACACTGTTAAGACAGTCACTCTCTAGAACTTTTCATCTTGCAGAACTAAAACTCTATACCCCCTGCATGACATATCCCCAATTTTTAAAAAACGTGGTATGTTATAGGTATGCTTTCATGTCAGTAAATGTGGTTATACAATATTTAATCAGGTTGGTGGTGGTGGTGGTTTTGCAATGGAGTCTTACTCTGTCAGCCAGGCTAGAGTACACTGGTGCGATTTTGGCTCACTGCACCCTCCCCGGGGTTCAAGCGATTCTCCTGCTTCAGCCTCCCAAGTACCTGACTACAGGTACCTGCCACCATGCCCGGCTAATTTTTGTATTTTTAGTAGAGATGGGGTTATATCATATTGGCCAGGCTGGTCTCAAACTCCTGACCTTGTGATCCTTCCACCTCAGCCTCCCAAAGTGCTGGGATTACAGATGTGAGCCACTCCTCCTGGCCTTAATCAGTTTTCTGAAAGGGGTGATACATACACATCAAACAAGCTTCAAATGATACAGCTATGGTATTGAATGAAAACAGCAAATTTTCCACCTCCGTCCCTAGCCACCACCTCTAGACTCTCTGCTAGAGGTAACCACCTTTCCCAATTTCTTGTCAATGTTTCTACATATTGTTCAATTTATGTACCCAGGCTTCATTGCTCTTTTTTTTTTTTTTTAATAGAGGTGGGGTTTCACCATGTTGGCCAGGCTGGTCTCGAACTCCTGACCTCAGGTGATCTGCTCTCATCGGCCTCACAGTGCTGGGATTACAGGCGTGAGCCACCATGCCCAGCCAAGCTTCATTGCTCTTAATATTTTGCTAATATAAAAGCATTGTGGTCAGACATGGTGGCTCACGCCTATATTCCCAACACTTTGACAGGCCAGAGTGAGAGCATTGCCTGAGCCCAGGAGTTCAAGACCAGCCTGAGCAATATAGTGAGTCCTAGTCTCTACAAAAAAAAATAAAGATAAAAAAACCAGCCAAGCATGGTGACATGCGCCTGTAGTCCCACCTGCTGGGGAGGGTGAGGCAGGAGGATTGCTTGAGCCCAGGAAATGGAGTTTGCAGTGAGCTATGATCATGGCACTGTACTCCAGCCTGGGTGAAAGAGCCAGACCTTCTCACTGAAAAAAAAAAGTACAGAGATGAATATCCTTAGAGCTAAAACTTGAAGCACTTTCTTATTTTCTTAAGATAAATCCCTAAAAGTAGTGTACTGGCTCTAAGAGCATACATATTTTTAAGGCTTGTGATACACACTGTCAAATTCCATGCAGAAGTATTGTGCCGGTTTTCTGCCTCACAAAAAGTATATGCCAGCATCAGGAAGAATTATTTCTATAAATGGTTTTTAGGATCCTATGATCAGCTGTGCCTTTAACTGTGCCTTTCTCTGCTAAAACAACTTTTCTTTTTCTTCTGAGACCGTCTCTCACTCTATCACCCAGGCTGGAGTGCAGTGACATGATCTCAGCTCACTGCAACCTCTGTTTCCTGGGTTGAAGCGATTCCCCCGCCTCAGCCTCCTAAGTAGCTAGAATTATAGGTGCCTGCCACCAAGCCCAACTAATTTTTAGTAGAGACAGAGTTTCACCATGTTGGCCAGGCTGGTCTTGAACTCCTGATCTCAAATGATCTGCCTGCCTTGACCTCCCAAAGTGCTGGGATTACATGTGTGAACCACCGCGCCCGGCCTGAAATCAGCTTCTATATAGGTGATTGTTACTTTCTACTCTTTCTTCTTCCCTAACAGGTTTTCTTAAATGTTTTTTTGGAGCCTTAAAGATGGAGATGACAGAAATGACTGGTGTGTCGCTGAAACGCGGGGCCCTTGTTGTCGAAGATAATGACAGTGGGGTCCCAGCTGAGGAGACAAAAAAACAGAAGCTCTCGGAATGCAATCTAACCAAAGGCCAAGATGGGCTACAGAATGACTTTCTGTCCATCAGTGAAGACGTGCCTGGGCCTCCTGACACTGTCAGTGCCGGGAAAGGTGGAGAGAATTCTGAGGCTCAGTTGGAAGATGAGGAAGAGGAGGAGGAAGATGGACTTTCAGAGGTGTGTGAGGAGGAATCAGAGAGTTTTGCAGACATGATGAAGCATGGACTCACTGAGGCTGACGTAGGCATCACCAAGTTTGTGAGTTCTCATCAAGGGTTCTCAGGAATCTTAAAAGAAAGGTACCTTTAGTTTGTGTATAAAGTTATTTTGATTGATTAGGTTTCTTCTTTAGAAAGAGATCAGTTTTATATTCTTCCATTTAGCTTTCTGTTTCCAAGGATTGTTTATACTCCTGGTCAAAAGGAATAGGATGAAGGAAACCTGCCTGAATAAATAAATAGCCTTGGATTTTAAAGTTTTAATTAATTTTTTACTCTTTTTTGAGAGAAGTTCTCAGTGTCACCCAGGATGGCGTGCAATGGCAACATCATCGCTCAAATAAATTCATTGGCTGTGTGCAGTGGCTCACGCCTGTTACCCCAGCACTTTGGGGTAACAGCACTTTGGGTGGCTGAGGTGGGAGAATCTGGGGTCAGGACTTTGAGACCGGCCTGGCCAACGTGGTGAAACCACACCTCTACTGAAAATAAAGAAGTTAGCCGGGCATAGTGTCGAGCGCCTGTAATCCCAGCTACTCGGACGGTGAGGCAAGAGAATCACTTGAACCTGGGAGGTGGAGGGTGCGTGAACTGAGATCGCACCACTGCATTCCAGCCTGCCCAACAGAATGAGGCTTCGTCTCAAAGAATAAATAAGTAAATTCATTTAAATGGTTTCAGGTGTTCTCCCAAGTTTGTTTTATAATCTTAAACTCTTTTTTTCACTTGAATATGCCACAGCTGTGGTAGAAGAAGGTAGTCTTTGGAGCCAGGTAGATCCCAGTGTAAATCCAGTTCTCTACTTAGTAGTTACTTAGCTTCTCTGAACCTCAGCGTCCTCATTTAAAAAATGGATCAGGCCGGTATAGTGGCTCATGCCTGTAATCTCAGCACTTTGGGAGGCTGAGGCAGGCAGATCACTTGAGATCAGGAGTTCAAGACCAGCCTGGCCAACATAGCAAAACCCTATCTCTACTAAAAATACAAAAATTAGCTGGGCGTGGTGGGCAGAGCAAGACTCTGCCTCAAAAAATAATAAAAATAAAATAGGATGGACGCAGCACACCTGTAACCCCAGCACTTTGGGAGGCCGAGGTGGGCAGATTACCTGAGGTCAGGAGTTTGAGACCAGCCTGACCAGCATGGAGAAACCCTGTCTCTACTAAAAATACAAAAAATTAGCTGGGCATGGTGGCACATGCCTGTAATCCCAGCTACTCGGGAGGCTGAGGTAGGAGAATCTCTTGAACCCTGGAGGCGGAGGTTGCAGTGAGCCGAGATTGCACCTTTGCAGTCCAGCCTGGGCAACAAGAACGAAACTCCATCTGAACAAAATAAAGCTGGGCGCAGTGGCTCACGCCTGTAATCCCAGCACTTTGGGAGACCAAGGCAGGCGGATCACCTGAGGTTGGGAGTTCGAGACCAACCTGACCAACACGGAGAAACCCTGTCTCTACTAAAAATACAAAAATTAGCCAGGTATGGTGGCACATGCCTGTACTCCCAGCTACTGGGGAGGCTGAGGCGGGAGAATTGTTTGAATCCAGGAGGCAGAGGTTGCAGTGAACTGAGATCATGCCATCGTACTCCAGCCTGGGCAACAAGAACAAAACTCCATCTCAATATAAATAAATAAATATAAAATAAAATAGGTTATATACTACATTGGGGTTGTTGAGGATTTTGAATAATGCCATGTGTGTTCCTATGCAACAATTTTGCATGTTCTTCACATGTACCCCAAAACCTAAAATGCAATAAAATAAATAAATGGGAAAAAAAAAAAAAGATTGAGGTAGTAAGAAAGGTGAGAAGAATGTTAAGTAGGCAATAGTAGATGACCAGTCTAGTATTTCTGAAATAAATTTGTGATGGAAACAAAAAAAAAACATAAAGGTAAGCTTCAGGCTAGTTCAAGTAGACTCACTAGGTTCCGATTCAATTACCATGTATTATATTTTGTGGCTTAATTTAGTGGGAGCTGTCTGAATAGTGATAGGGTAATGTTAATAAGCTTTTGTTTTTTGTGTTTCTCTGGAAAAATATTTTAGAAGCTAAGAGAGTCTTTTCTTAGATTATCATAAGAAACTTGAGCCAAGGTGTGGCTCAGCATTCATTAAAAAAACAGAAAAGGCCAGGTGCAGTGGCTCACACCTATAATCCCAGCACTTTGAGAGGCTGAGGTGGGCGGATTACTTGAGGTCAGTAGTTCAAGACCAGCCTGGCCAAAATGGTGAAACCCCACCTCTACTAAAAATAGAAAAGTTAGTGAGGCATGGTGGCACATGCCTGTAATCCCAGCAACTCAGGAGGCTGAGACAGGAGAATCACTGGAACCCAGGAGGCGGAGGTTGCAGTGAGCCAAGATTGTACCATTGTACTCCAGCCTGGGTGACAGAGCAAGACTCCATCTCAAAAAAAAAATGACTCCATCTTAAAAAAATAACTCCATGTGATTTTGCACTGAAGATTTTTTTAAATTTTGCACAATAGTAAGGCTTGTTTTGCACAATAGTAAGGCTATTGATCAACTTTATCCTAAAATTAATAGAAAACAGGGCGTTAATTATCTGAAAGTTTATGCTTTCTTTTCATCAGGTACTCCGACTTCGTTGTTCATGAAATAGGAAAAGATGGACGGATCAGCCATTTGAATGACTTGTCCATTCCAGTGGATGAGGAGGTAGAAGTAGCTCTTTAGCAAATGTCACCTTCTGTATAAAAATAGCATTTCCTAGAGATACAGAAATACAGAGCTTTAATAAACTTGAATTCTGTGTATGATTCACCGAGTTCTCATGGTTATTTTAAAGGACCCTTCGGAAGATGTATTTACAGTTTTGACAGCTGAAGAAAAGCAGCGATTGGAAGAGCTCCAGCTCTTCAAAAATAAGGAAACCAGTGTTGCCATTGAGGTAAATAATGCAGAAATATTTGGAAAGGTTTTTAGGGTTTTGGGTTCTTTTTGGGTTGATGTTAAGTGTTTATGGAAAAAATTGCGATGGTTAACAAAAGGCTGATATTGCTTTATTGGATCTAAAGGGTATTACACGAAAAAAAATTTTAG